AAGGCAGTGAACAGAGAAGTTAAGTTCTCATCTGAAAGCATCCTTCTGTTACCATATGTAGGGCCAGAACCGTGAATGGACTATATAGGGTTACATGGCCATTGCTTCAAACTCCTGCTGTGTTTTGTCTAGTAGCTTTTAACATGAGAGATGGAACCAGTCCTGAGACCGTGGTCTTGAACTCCGATCCCTCTCTTCATAGAAAGTGGCTGCTGTTCTGGTTTTTGATTCTGTTCTTGGCCCAGTAAACCTCAGAGGGTCTAGGGGAAAATGTTCCAACTCCAACTCTTTGGTGCTTATGGTTGTCTTCTTCTCATGGTTTAACCCAGCCAGCAACTGAGCACCACACAGCTGCTTGCTTACTCCCCCCATGGCAGGATGGGGGAGAGAACTGGAAGGGTAAAAAGAAGACTCGTGGGTTGAGACAAACACAGTTTAATAGGCAAAGCAAAAGCCGTGCACGCAAGCAAAGCAAAACAAGGAACTGACTCACCATTTCCCAGCAGCAGGCAGATGTTCAGCCATCTCCAGGAAAGCAGGGCTCTGTCACGCATAACGGTCACTTTGGAAGACCAGTGTCATCACTGCATATGCCATTCTCCCCTTTTTTTTCTTCCCCCAACTTTATATGCTGAACATGATGCCATATGGTATGGGATATCCCCTTGGTCAGTTGGGGTCAGCTGTCCTGGCTGTGTCCCCTCCCCGCTGCTTGTGCACCCCCCTGGTGGGGTGGGGTGAGGAGCAGAAAAGGCCTTGACGCTGTGTAAGCACTGCTCCGCAGTAACAAAATCATCCCTGTTATCAACACTGTTCCCAGCACAAATCCAAACCGGAGCCCCACACCAGCTACTGTGAAGAAAATGAACCCTACCTCATCCAAAACTAGCACACTCCTGAAGGATAGGAAATGGAAGCTTGAAAGCAAGGTGCTGGTATATGGAGCAATCTCTTTTCCAAGAGGCAGTCTTCAAGGCACAATAATAGCTTGTTACCATTAGTTGCAGGACTTGCCTCAAGCGTGTGGGTGCAGAGGGGGATAGTGGAAAGCAACCTGAAAGTTGGAAGGGCTGAGAAAGGGTCCCTTTTCTCCTCTTTTTGGTTTGCTGGTATAAGGTGATGGAAGAGGAGGAAGTGATGAGAAGAGAAGGAGGAAGCTGGAGAAAGAGCCCAGTCTCTCACTCAGCAGTTTGTCCTGTGTGTATTCAGAGCATTCAGGATGAGAAGCCCTCAAGACTTCCCTCATTTCATAGATTTTTTTTCTCTTTCACTTTTTCTGTAGCTTTTGATCAGAGCCATCCTTCCTTCCAGCCAAAGACTAGGGAATGAGAAGAAATGAAAATAAATTTATAGCAGGTTTAGTGGACGAGGCTGGGCCTAGTGCAGATAGAGCAGGCTGAATGGAGCAAGGCTCTTGGTGTGCTCTGTTGGCAGTGCTCAGCCAGGCACCCTTTTTTCCCAGCCTTTGAAGGTAACGATGTTGTTGCTTTGTCTTAGATTCATAGGACAACCTTCAGACATAAAACTTTGGGGTTTTGAGCTTCACATGTACCAGGCAAAACTGTCAAGCCTGGTCAGTATCGGAATATACTCAGGAAAACAGAAGGTGCTGAAGGAAAACAGGCAGGGGAGGAACTACCCGTCCGAGTCTTAACTGGGCTGCACTATTGCAAGACTCTTCTTTAAGCTGAATTTAAACAACCAAAACCCAGTCGGTGATTTTGCAGGTTCTTGGCACCTTGGGAATTAAGTAGGGCTTCGGTGCCAATGGTCTGAACAAAAGCTGAGAAGTTGAAGTGCAGTATCCAGCCTATCCAGCAGTTCAACTGGAGAAAAGTGTGTCGAAGCAATCTTTAGTTGGATTTGTATTTGGGTTTAATTATTGAATGCCACTCTGAAGAAGGTGGTGTTTTAATGATGGATGAAATTTTTCCCACAATTGGAAGTACATTTGCACAAAGTGGTGCCATGTAAGTAGAGACTAAGAGAGCAGATTTCTTTATTTAGAAGAAATTAATGAAGGAATATAATTAAAGTTTATAAAGTGACAATTAAAAGCAGTTCGGTTTGCTTTTCTGTTTATTTGCCTCAAAAACTAGCAGCTCCTATCCAAATGAAATTTAAAAGTAATAATCTACACTGGATACTTAGTTTTTTGGGTTTTTTGAATGTACTTAGTTTGTGAAGTTCATTACATAAAACCATTGAAGCTCAAAAATTGAGAACGAGCGTGGAAGTGTAACTGTGTAATACGACTGACAGTACAGCTAAAGGCTTAAATTAGGGGGTTTTGCATACAGCAGGGCTACTGAAGGCTGGTTTCCTGTGGAGTTGTATCCTGCATTTTTTTAATAACTATCCCTCTACAAGAAGCCAAATTTGTACTTCCTCCCCCAAGCCCAGCTGAGCTCGAGGTAGTATGCAGTCTGGTTAATCCAGCCTGGTTTGCCTCAGGGTACGCTTCCTTGAACTGACCGGCTGATTCTGCCAATGGAATATAAAAGAGGTAATTTTTTTAAGGACTATATATCATTCATTACATAGGGTGATCTCTAATGGAAAAGCTGAGGAAGGAGTTTGCCATGTGAGCAAGAATTTTTTATTCTGAGGTTCCTTAACTTTGCGTGGAAACATTCAGTAGCGGATTAGTCTGATTTTTGTATAGTGATTCCTCCGTGTGTAGTTTGACATGAGCTTTGCAATTGTTTGGGCTTCAAGGCACTGCCTGTGTCTCAGGGCTTACACACGACAAGCGTGTAAAGGGATTGTCTCCCTGCATTAGAATTCTCCCCTTTTGCAGATTTTGGTGTTATGAGGAAGTCATAGTACATATATGCAGTCATACGTGATTAAGCTGAGCTCCTCTGATCTTTGACCAGTTTGGAGAGTTTTTAGGAGCTATTTTCTTTCCTGTTTACATCTCTGTGTATAGTTACATGAGTACTACCGGGCATGCTAAACCTTTTTAATGAGATTTAGCAAATCGGCAGTTTGCTTCAAGATGTGTGGGCTTTGCTGTCGCGCAAAGTTGGGCACCAGAGAAGGGGGAAGAAACACCTTTTCAGGCTGCCAGCACCTCGTCTCACCTATCCCCCCACCTTGCTGTGGAACTGGGGTTACATGGCTGATTCCCGTTCATTAGAAGATGCGTTGAATTAGCTATGCCATGCGTTTACACCTCGGGGCAAGTTCCTTTCCAGTGCACAGTGCAGAAGGATTCTAACTGAAGTGGAGAATAAAATTTTTATGAACTGGGACTTGAACACTCAAGTGCTGTAATATGCTTTCAGCTAATTTCATCTTTAAATACAGCTAATGATTCCACTTCAGTTTGCATTCAGATAAGAAATGTCATTCATTCTGTAGGAATGCAAGTGTCTGTAAAAGTGGTGACTTTTACAATTTAGATATGGCTTAGATATTTTTTACATGATTTAAACTAGACAGATAAGGTTAGACTGGTATATTTGTAAGTGAATTGGGGCATTGGGCCTCTGTGTTGGAGGAAAACATAATTTATAAACCAGTGTATAACTAGTTACTGTAGATTCAGAGAGTGGAAAGGGTTGGAAGGGACCTCTAGAGATCATCTAGTCCAACCCCCTGCCAGAGCAGGATCACCTGGAGTAGGTCACACAGGAACAAGTCCAGGCGGCTTTTGAAAGTCTCCAGGGAAGGAGACTCCCCCACCTCTCTGGGCAGCCTGTTCCAGGGCTCTGGCACCCTCACAGTGAAGAAGTGTTTCCTCATGGTCAGGCTGAACCTTCTGTTTTCCCGTTTATGGCCATTGCCCCTAGTCCTGTCCCTGGACACCACTGAGAAGAGCCTGGCCCCATCTTCTGCATCCCCAGATGCCACTGGCCTTCTTGGCCATGAGGGCACACTGTTGGCTCATGGTCATCCTCTTGTCCACTGGATATCTATGTTCAAGAAAAGCCATTTTTTTAAAAAGCTGATATGATGAAGTAACCCACCTACGACAGCCAGGTGGGACATGTGAAAGATGATGAAATGCTGTCATGCTTCGGGGGTAATCAAATCCAGAAGATCCTGGCCTTGGTTCTCAGGCTCTGGCATGAGGCATCAGGCTGGAGTTGGTCTGGGGACACCTGTTTTAGGGTAGAAAAAACATAAGTGTTTCATGATAGTCTCTTAACGGTGTTCAGGTAAAATTAATAATTAAAAAAAAATAAAAGCAGCCCTTAATAAATGTGATTACTATTTAAAGTTTCAGCTAAATTGAGATACTGGGGAAAAACAACATGTTTTGTTTGATATATTAGTTTGTGTTATTTCATATTAAATTTAACCTGCCATTTACCCAAGGTTTTTAGGTGCCAAATCTTTCCAGCAGCGTGCCATGCAATGTCTGTTATTCTGTGAAAACATTCTCACATGCTGTATCACCAAACCACTGTCAAATTCCCTAGCCTAACTGAGAAGATTTAGGTTGCATGGATGTAGTTGAGTGTGATAAAGTTTAGCGCGCCCTGTTATACTGACAAAATCTGCTTTTGTCCACCGTAAAACATGTACTCACATGGTATGTGAATAGAAACCTGCATTACGAAAGGCAGGAATTCGGCCTGTGTCACCCTGTGCCTGTTTCCAAAGCCAGGGGATGGAATGGGTGTTCATAAAAAGGGTTTTTGCAGAGAACAGGAGAGCGAGTGAGCGGCTGCTCTGCCAGTTCTGCACAAGAGCTCTCAGGCAGTGCCTGCTTAGGTATGAAATGCCCAGACAGGCACGTTTTTAAATCAGGTGTGCCTTTTGGAGAGCCAGCATCTCTCAGGGGATGAAGTAGTGGGTGACATAGTTAACCCACAGCTCTGTTGTAGTGGGGAGCCAAAACGGAGCAGCTGGGAGCATTGGAGAGCTTTGCCCGAGGGCCTCGGTTCTTGCCTTTACCTCGGGAAGGGGCAGTGGGAGCCCTTAGAGATGACAGCTCTGCGTGCCAGAACTGCCGAAACCCACCCCCTTGTGCCTCTCTTTTCCGACAGCTGCGGGAAGAGATCAAGGCCGGCAGAGGTGTGACTTCTGCCATCGACCTCTGCCGCTGCCATGGGAACAGAGCGCTGGCGGCCCTGGAGCGCTTCCCTCCCTCTGAGGCCAGGGCCGCCTTGGCCAACATCGTCGACGCCGTGACCAGGTTTCCCTGAGGAGCCGCTCTCCCCCCACAGGTGGGAGACCACCTGACAGTGACACCAACGACGCTCCGCACCGCTGCTCGCCTCGTCGTCCCGTCCAACGGAGGAACGCCCCCCCCCGCCACTAGCGAAATTCGGGATGGGGGAAGAGAAAAAGGTCACAGCCGGCTTTCGCTTGTCGTGCCAGAAGCGCACTTGAGGCTGCACCGGTAGAAATAATTAATGAGTCCCGTTTCCGTGACCTCAGCAAATGGACAGGAAATAAGTCGGTATTGATTGGGCACCGGCGGGGACGGCGCCAGGGCGGAGGCCGGTGGTTTTCCTGCCAGAGGGATGGAGGAGCGTGAAGATCCCATTCAAACCTGCCCAGAGAGAGCGAGCTGCCGAAGCCGGGGATTAACGGACCCGCTTGTGGAGGGGGAAGGGCAGTTTGGGGGATTAATGGGGGAAAACCTTTTGCACGCCATCATGTCTCCTCACGCTGACTTTATGTATTCGGTTGTAAAATTACCCTGTGCCTAGTGCCTTCCGTATTTGAGAAACGTGCTGAGAAAATGTGTCAAGCATGGGAAGTAGGGGCTTTAAAATATTTAATCAAATATTAATTTGGCTCTGTTCAGGGAAGCGGCTGCCTGGGCTTCATACTCTGCGTATGGAATACGTTGCTCTGGGTCAAGGAATGAGGTTTTTCCAACTCTCCTGGGGGAGGGAATATCCCTCCCTCAGCTCAAGCAGTTTGTTTCAACAGTCTCACACAAAAGAATTTCCGAGGTTTGTGACACCCGCGTTCACCCAAGCCAAATAAATGTTCATTTGTCAGGGTAGACGTGGGCCTTTGGCACTGGGGAAGGAGGCAGGCTCTTCGGCGAGTACAGCCTTTCACCACGCCGAAGGAAAGGCTCCCGGGGAAGTTTGGAACCTCGCCGTGTTGAATTTTAAAGCCCAATTACGGGCAGCGCGTAAGGTGTAGCAGAAGCCTGCAATTTGAGGCCGTCTCTGTTTTGTTCATAGGAGCTGATTTCTGTGGTTTGCATGCCTGCAATCTGAGAACGCCGTCGACAAGAAGGCTGAGTTTACATAAATGATCTAGATTGAGACTCAGCTACCTTTCTTCCTTCTGTGGTGTAATTACAGCCCAATCTGGAGACAGCTAGCACAGCAAACAGATTTCATTACATCGCTCTCTCAAACACTAAGTGGAGTTATTTCTGTTAAATTCTCTCCTCCCCCCCTCTTCTTCCCCTGCGCTCCTTCCCCCCGTCACACAGCTTGTTTGTCGGAGACCAGCGTGTTGCATTCCACCAAATGCGAAATACAAATAAAAACTCTTGTCCTCCGAAAATATCCTGAAAATGTATCCTGCATATGTACATAATATTCTGTGTAATATATTCCTATATTATACCACGATACTGTATGTATAATAAGCACCCTGGAGCAGCATCCCGAACTCCGGACTGGCTTTGTTCTGGAGAACACCTTCAACACCAGGCCCCTTCTTGCGTGCACTTTTTCTGATGCCTGCCCTGACGTTTTCTCTCTTCCTACGACTCTGGCACTTCTGCCTGAGTTAGTGCTGTTGCTGCAGGGGGAAGGCCAGAGAGGGAAGAGGAGCCCGGGCAGTGGGAGTCACAGGCATCTGCCTTAGGTAACCACTGTGTGTTTTCACCTGTGAAGTTCTGCTGATGCAGAGCACATGCTTGAAAGAAATACCTAAATTCAACGAGAGTCCAGGGTTTTTTTGGCTCTGGTTTTTACGTATTACATCTAGTGGGAGCCATACATCAGCTTCTCTATGTCTTACATCTATGCTAAGTGGTTCATGATGATTTAGGGCTGCAAGAACCTTGCATCTGCTGGAAATACTCTGAGCTATCTCACCTCAGTCACCTGTGTGAAAGAAATATCAAACGTGCTGCAAAACTGGGTACACCTGCTTTGTATTTTCATGAAAGTACAATTTTTTTTATTTGTACTTTTTACTAATAAAGGGAAATCAGCAAAATGTAATGACTTTTTCTTTTAATTTTAAATATTGGCCCCTACCAATATTATCAAGTAATCTCAAATACAAGATATCTGACTGTAATTGTTGAGAAAATTTTGTTGTCTTGTTTTGTCCCGATAAATTCCAAGCAAAGCACTGTACCCCTCTGTCAAACCCTTGGTGCATCAGTTACGGCTGCGTGCGGATGTATTATAGAATCATAGAATCAGAGAACGGTTTGGGTTGGAAGGGACCTTAAAGACCATCTAGTTCCAACCCCCCTGCCATGGGCAGGGACACCTTCCACTAGACCAGGTTGCTCAAAGCCTCATCCAGCCTGGCCTTGAACACTTCCAGGGATGGGGCATCCACAGCTTCTCTGGGCAACCTGTTCCAGTGCCTCACCACCCTCTCTGGGAAGAACTTCTTCCTGATATCCAATCTAAGCCTCCCCACTTTCAATTTAAACCCGTTCCCCCTTGTCCTGTCACTACAGGCCCTTGTAACAAGTCCCCCCCAGCTTCCTTGTAGCCCCTTCAGGTACTGGAAGGTGCAATAAGGTCTCCCCGGAGCCTTCTCTTCTCCAGGCTGAACAAGCCCAATTCTCGCAGCCTTTCATCATAGGAGAGGTGCTTCCCACACCTTACACGTTTTCTGGGCAGTGGTGGAGCCTTAAGGCAGCTCTGGTTTTGTTTTTCTCTCCTTGGTGCCTTTTCCCCAGTCACCTCTGTGAGGAGGCTGGGGGAGGGGGGCTGAGGAAGGTGTTCCCACCATTTACTGCAGGCACCCGGCTACTCAGCCAGCCACTCCTCTGAGCTTATCCCAGGTGGTGTATTGCTAGACCATTCCACGGGTGCACAAAATACAGGACGAGGTCCCAACTGCTTTTTAAACCAAACTAAATTGGTCTCCTACAAAGAGCACAGCTGCAGTGGTCACAATGTCTGCGATGGAAAGTCGTCTTACTGCCAGCTGAGCATTTCCAGCTCCACAATTGTGATAACGCTGGATAGGAGAGTTGTTTGGGAACGAGGTACCCAGAAGGACAGCAGTGTTGGCTGGAAGTCATCTACTCCAATCTCCTGTTTGAAGGGGACTGCTGCCAACATGAAGTCCAGTCCTGGAAAGCACCAGGGATGGAGCTTCCACAGGTTCCCCGCACGACCTGTCCCAGTGTTGCTCCACCTTCCTTGTGAAGGAGCTTTCCTGATGTCCAGCAGGAACCTCCCTCACTGTAGCCAGTCCCGTTGCCTGTTATTTACCACCTGCCACTGCCAAGAATGGTTTGGCTCTGCTGTCCTGCTAATTCCCTGCTCCGCAGCTGTGTGCCGCGCTCCGATTGCCTGTTAGCCTTCTCTTGCTGGCTGGAGCAGCCTGGCTCCGCTGGCCTCTCCTGGTAGCCCTGACACAGGGGCTGCCCCACAGTGACCTGCGTGACTTTCATACCACCCCCCTTGGGCTGTGAGCCCAAGACAGGCCAGTTTGGAAGCGGCCTCACGGGGTGCAGTACTGGGCCTTGCTGTGATGGAGTTAATTTTCTTCATAGCATCCCAAAACGTGCCCTGGTTTGGATTGGTGACCGAAACGGCATTGCTAACGCACCCATGTTCTAGCTGTTGCTCAGAAGTGGGTGAGTGGCGCCTGGGCTTTCCCTGCTCCTCGCCTGAGGCCCATCGAGTGGGTTGGAGTGGGCAGGGGGCTGGGAAGGGGTCACGGCAGCTGACCCAAACCGACCACAGAGATATTCCGCACCATGGAACGTCAGGCTCGGCAATAAAAAGGAGGATGGGGTGTGCCGGGGGTGCGTTGCTCGGGGACTGTCTGGGCATCTGTCAGCTGGAGGTGATTGCTTTTGCATCCCTTATTTTTGCATCCCCTTTGGTCTGTTTTCATAGAATCACAGAATGGTTTGGGTTGGAAGGGACTTTAAAGACCATCTAGTTCCAACCCCCCTGCCATGGGCAGGGACACCTTCCACTAGACCAGGTTGCTCAAAGCCTCATCCAGCCTGGCCTTGAACACTTCCAGGGATGGGGCATCCACAGCTTCTCTGGGCAACCTGTTCCAGTGCCTCACCCCCCTCTCCAGGAAGAACTTCTTCCTGATATCCAATCTAAACCTCCCCACTTTCAATTTAAACCCGTTACCCCTTGGCCTGTCACTACAGGCCCTTGTAAAAAGTCCCCCCCAGCTTCCTTGTAGCCCCTTCAGGTACTGGAAGGTGCAATAAGGTCTCCCCGGAGCCTTCTCTTCTCCAGGCTGAACCAGCCCAACTCTCTCAGCCTGTCCCCATAGCAGAGGTGTTCCAGCCCTCTGAGCATCTTCGTGGCCTCCTCTGGACTCGCTCCAAGTGGTCAATATCCTTCTGATGTTGAGGGCTCCACAGCTGGATGCAGCACTCCAGGTGGGGTCTCACCAGAGCAGAGTACAGGACACAGTTTACAGGGTACGGATTACAGTACAGATTTTTTACCCTTTTACCTATTAAACTGTTTTTAACTCAACCCACGGATTTTCTCACTGTTGACCTTCCGATTCTCTCCCCCATCCCACTGGCTGGGGAGTCAGTGGGCGGCTGGCCATGAGGTGCTTAGCTGCCAGGCAGGGTGTGTGCCCCACAGCCCTTTTTGGCCCCCAGCGTGGGACACGTAGGGCCCAAGATAAGGAGACATCTGACCAGGGTTGTACCTGATCAGATCCTGCTGGTCGCAGCTTTCCTTGTTTGTTCTCGATGCAGGTTTATTTGTTCCCTTACCCCCACCCCTCCCCCGTGTCTCTCTCTTGCTGTACATCAGGTTTGAGAGCTCGCTGGGGGCTGGGCTTGGCTTCTGCAGTTTGCTGTGCTGCGTCGCACGCGGATGGATGTGTTTTGCCTGGGAGAACTGTGATGAAAGCGCTGGCCCTCAGCCTAATGTGGTGTTCGGGCCCTGCGCTGCTGCCGTCCCAGTACTTCGGGAACCATCTCGTGGAGACAATTAACAACTACACCTTTTCCCTCTATTCCTCCAATAGCCAAATTGAGGAG